GGGGGGCCGGGCGCAGGGTCCCTGGGCACGCGGGGCCGGGGGCGGGGTGGGGCAGGCCCCCTCCGGCTCGCCGCACACCCCGGACACCGGCCAGGGAAGGGGCTGTCGATAAATCCATGGCGATCGCCATGGCTCAGGCACAGCTGGAAGCGCTCAGAGGCTCGGGGACGTCAGCTGTGCGTGTGTCACTGGAGACAGTGCTAGGCACACAGTATAAGCGCCCGGCAGGCGAGGCTGCAAACTTTACTCAGGTGAGTCGCTTTCTTGTCTTCGGCAGGACTGCTTACGAAGAGCGGGTTTGCTGGATAGGACCCCCAGGTGTTGTCGGGTTGGTTTGGCCTTGCTTGCAAGGAGGGCAGGCAGTTTGGTTTTGCGGGGGGCGGCCACCTTTAGAGACCTGGTGGCAAAAGGTGATTCACTCTGCATGCGTGCAGGCGTGACCCAGCATCCCGCATCTCCATAGCACAACCGCCCCGCTCGCTGGAAACCCGAGTGCCCCGCGCTCCGCCCGGGCAGGCGTTTAGGATAACGTTTGCACGTTGAAACTCCTGCTCTTTACATTCAGATCAGACACGCGCACTAAATAGCTCCTTGGAGAGAGAGGCAGACAGTAGGTCAGACGAGAAAACACGGGCGTGCAGAAGGATAGACAGACAGGCAGACAACAAAATATCACCTCTCGTCTTTCTAGGGAAAAAGCAATACTGAAATCGGAGCATATTCTTCGGTTTCAAGAATAAATGCAGACAGACATAAATAAGTGAACGGACCCAAAAGGACAAAGACTGCAACGTTCACGGAGACTCCAGCTAATATTCAAATTGATATTGAAACAGTTCCAATATTTTCAGTCTGTTCTGAGTCCTTTCAGGTCAATACATGCTGGTTTCCAAAGCTTTATTGGACTATGTAAAAAAAATCTATAGCTTACCATTTTTAAAGCATTACTAACTATTCCGAAGCTTTGGATTTAATAAGGGCCATCAATAGAGAACACGTCTATTCCTTTGGAAATCATCTTCCAGCCCTCTAAATCTATTACAATAGCCTGCATGAGACAAATCATTGTAATGCGTTTGGGGGGTGGGGGGATAGAAGTCTCCATTTAGCTGCTATTGACCCAGATGCACTGCACCAGCCACCCTCCAAAACCAACACAACAAGTGTAATTTATGCGGAAGAAGAGGCATTTCGACGCGGAGTCTTTTATTTTAATTATTGTCAGCTTTCCTCGCTGGATCCAGCCCCTTCCCCTGGAATCGCTGGGCAGTTTCTTTCTGGAAGGTAAAAACCTGGGAGAAGTGTCAGCCTCCCACTCCCGAGACAGCGATGGGGAAAGCAAGCGGCGCCTGTGTGCGCGCGTGTGTTGCACACGTCATTTGCTTCGGAATACTTGAAGCCCTTCTGCCCAGCACCCATCTGTCACCCCCTGCACACCTAGTTGCTCATGTTTGCAGCAGCCGCACACCCCACTTCAGTGCACTGGCAAATGCACCCCCACCCTTGCAGCTGCACCTGCTGCACCGCTTCCTTCCGACGTGGAGCAAACCCGCATCCCCGCACCGGGTTCACACTCCGCATTCACGCGGCTTCTTAACGGCACCTGAATATTCAGGCTAAATACCCCCAGCGCGATCAGGAAGCTCCGTCTCCTTCCTTCCCTCCCCGCTTTGCAGAGATGTACGACAGCTTCTTGCTCAAAAGTTCCCTCCGGAAAAAAAAAAAAAATCTTTGCTTTCACTACGGAGGATGGTTTTCACTCTTGCTCCTTTTCCTAGTAAAAGGGAGGTGGGGGGGAGCATCATAAAAATCAGCCCTGGAAGCAGGTATTTTATTGCCTTAGTCTGCGGTAGGCCTCGTCCGTGACAATAAATGAATACCAAGCGCCTGGAAGAGGGGGCCGAGCGGGGATTGTCGCCAGGCTCCCGGGGGCGAGACTGGAGCCCGGGGTGGGTCCAGCGGCCCGAAGCAGCAGGCGGCTGCCAGCCCCTGGGCAGGGCTCGACCTCCCGGCCTGGCCCCGCAGGATGCAGCAGGTCCAGGCCGGCGAGGGAGGCAGGACACCGCGGGGGGAAGCTCCCCACCAAGCCCCGGGGAAGTCTGTCGCTGTCC